GTACCACTGCTCCTTATCCCCCCGCTTGTCTGCCAGCGGATGGACAGTGCCCTTTCAGAACCCCAAGCACTGGCACGTTTTCCCCAGAGCCTCTTCTGTCTATGTGGACCAGCCCTGAGTTAGTTAATTGTGCCAGCCTGGCCGATAATCACATGTGGTGCTAGTTGAAAGGCGGAGGGATAAATGGGTGGTGAAGCCTCGCCTTTCTGGTTCTCGGGTCTCTTACTTTGTGATGGTCGCACCAGGATGCAGCTGCTTTAGCAGCTCCCTGCTTCAGCTTGCAAGATTGACATCCTACAAGACATCCCCAAGGAGAAGCCGCATGGATCTATCCCGATGCAGCCCTGGGTGCTGGAGCAGCCGTGTGGAGACCCCTGCTAGTGCTGAGATGCTTGTTCGTTCACTGACTCAGCTTTCCTCCTGCAGTCGGCATCATCGCCTCTGTTTTGTGAGGTGGAAGACATTGTGGACTGGTGTTGGGTTAATGTTGGACTTGTGGGCTTGGGCAGCATTGGGTTGGGATGTTTCCGTGATGCACCTTTTCTTTACATAAAACTCTCTCTTCTACATGGTCACTGTGGATTTGTTTCTCCAAAGTACCCAGACTAATACAAGCCCCAACTGCTCTTAAAAGCAGAGGTTCTTGGAGGCCCACACACCTGAATCACCCCAGGGACCTGGCCCCCGTGGGTTTCCATGCACCAGGAGGAGGTCAGTTCGGGTTCCCCACCCACAAACCCAGCTGTGTCATGCTGGCTGAGTGTCTGCGTGAATCCCTGGGCATTCAAGAACACTGATGTAACTAGAAAACACCTTGCAGAACAAAGGCCACCTGCTCCAAGGGACTTTGCTGCTGCTAGAAATTGGTGGCAGTCCCAGCTCTCTTGCCTACAGCAGACAACCTTGCTCTGAGGCACTGCAGGGAGTCTGGGGCAGTGCTGCCCCACCGCCAACAAGGGCCCATGGCTTCCTGAGTGGCATCTGCACTTAAGCTGAGGTCCATGCCCCAGAGGGCCTGCAGGGTTTCTACTTCTAAGCATATAAACTGTACAGTCCTAAGGGAAGCCTTTGAGGCAAGCCAAGTGCACACAAGTTCTTCTTGGCAAAGAAACAAGGGGTGGAGGCTGTGTGTACCACTGCAGGCACCACCTGAGCCAGTCTGGAGTTCTAACACACACTCCTCGCGGGGTCGGGGTTGGGTGGGAGGGTGGCGTATCCAGGGTCTGGAGTGGGCAGCAAGGTTGCATTTCTGACCAGCTTCCAGGGAAGGCCACAGGCCACACTAACAGAGACAACCAATGCAGCCCCCTAACCCACCTCAGGCCCATCATCCCCCAGGCCCTCAGGAGCAGGGAAATGCCACAGATAAGAAAGGACTTGCCAAGCCAACAACCTCCAGCAGCAGCCTGACTCAGTCCTCAGCATACCTGTCTGCTACCCAGTGCCATCTTCCAGAAGAACATGGCGAGTCATGGCCCCCATGGCCTGCACTGCGGCTGGGTGAGCAGCTGGGGCTGCAGGGTGACTTGGAGAGGCCCCAAACCTTCCTTTCGAATCCCAAGAGGCAGAGTATGCCTTTGCCACTGTGTTACCTTGAATGTGACTTCTCAGGGGATGGTGGGGGCCAAGACAGAAGCTCTCGTTGGCACCCAGCCACTTCCAAATAACCATGCTGGTATAGTTAAAGTTTATTGTGCCAACCTGGTGGATAAATACATGTGGGGTTACTTGAAGGGCTTGTGATAATTGGCTTGGTGAGCACTGCCTATTGAGTTCTTGGGTCTCTTGCTTTGTGATGGTCAGAACAGGGTGCATCTGCCTTAGCCAGTTCCCTGATTCAGCTGGCAAGGCTCACTTCCTGCAAGACATCCCCAAGGAGAAGCTGCATGGACCCACCCTAATGCAGCCCTGCGTGCTGGAGCAGCTGTGTCGAGACTCCTGCCAGTGCTGAGATGCTTACACATTCGCTGATTTGGCTTTGCTCCTTCAGTTGGCATCATTGTGTGTGTTCTGTGAGATGGAGGAGGACTTAGTGGATTGGTGTGGGACATATGGGCTAATGTTGGACTTGTGGGCTTGGGCAGCACTGGGTTGGGATGTTTTCTTTATGTGCACTTAACCTTTATGTATAAAACTCTCTCTTAGACATGAGTTTCTGTGGATTTGATTCTCTAAAGTACTGAGACTAACACACACACCCATGCAGCGGGGTGTTGATGGACATTTATTCAGCTTAGTCAGCTCTGGCAGGTGTTGGTGACCCACCGAAGAAGCCAGTCTGGACAACTATTCCCATCTCCCGCTCAGTCACAAGGCCACCTGCTCCTCCTCCTCAGGCAGGGGAGCCTCAGGCTCCCTTGTCACCCAGCCCTGGTGTAGCCACTTTGCCCCACAAAATGCACCCATGGGGTACCCTGTACTTTCCTCTTTCATGACCCCCATTTTCAGCCACCCCACAAACGCAACTTGATTCACTAATCAGTTGACAAGTCTTTCCTGAATGTTAAACAACCATGTGAGGCTCAGGAACTCACTCATCCCCTTGTCCTCATGGAGTTCATACTCCAAGGGTTAGACACACAGACACACAAGCACACACACATACAAATCCATGCACAGACATTCGCACAGAGACACGCACATGCACACACATGTGCGCACACATACACGGACACACATGCACACACAGACACATACACACATACATACACGCATATACACAGAGACACACACACGAGGCTAGGCCTAAGCTGGACAGTGGATCATGTATGTGTGGGAGGGTGCCTTGCACAGGGGGACTGTGCGTGAGGGATGGGAGTGAAGCTGCCTCAGGCTTAGCCAGGGGCAGGAGGGAGGGGCAGCACAGAGTGCAAGGGGGGCTTGAGGATGGCGATTGGCTCCCAGTGGGCTGACAAGCAGAGGAAGGCCGCCTCACTGACAAGGCTCGGACAGAGTGGATGTTCTATACATGTGACCCTTCTCTCTGACCTTCCTTGGGGCAGGTATGTGGAGGTGCTGGGAGGGCCCGAACAAAAAGAGGGCAGGGACCACTGTCAATCCTGGCAAAAGCCCAGTGAGAGGCCATCTCCCACACACACAGCCCCTCCTGCCCACATGGTGCCCGACTGGGGCACACAGAGACTCCATAAGTACTGTCACCCCCAGGGTCTCCATAAGGGCAACCAACACCAGGAAATCTGGCCACCATCCAAATACCCAGCCCAGCCCAGCCCAGCCCAGCACTGACACCCTTGATGGGTGGCAGGTGGGTGCCAGGCCAGCTCTTAGGATGAAGGTGGAGGTTTCAACCTAGTGTACTCTGGGGACACAGGGACAATGTCTCTGCTGGTTGAACCCTCCCTGCCACCAGCATGCAGCAGGCTGGAGAGAGACCCCTCTCGCCCTGGTCTTCCCAACCTGGGCTGGGTTGGTGGGAGTGGCTGGTCCCTCCTCCAGCAGACCAGGTTCACACCTCCTTGCAGAATTCATAGATGTCCTGGCTCCCCGGCCTTCTCTTAGTGAGACCCCCAGCTAGGGCCAGGGAACAAGCAGGCAGAGGGGAATTACAAGCCAGAGAAAATCACACGGGTGGAGGTGGAGAACCTCACAGTGTTGGGGAGGGAACCTGGCTCCTGAAACCAGCAAACACCTGGTGGGCTGGGGGGAGGGGTGCTGACAGGGGTCCCACCCAGATTCTTGACTCCTGAACTGGGAGAGGGCAACATGGCAGGAACACTGACTCGGATGCCAAGTCCCTGCCCATGGGCTTCATTCATGAAATTGCATGTAAAGTGTTAATCGACGCACATGTGTGTCTTTCTGGGTAAGATTCTAGCCTTCATTGGATTTTCAAGGGGCTTATGTCCCAAAGGTGCCAGGAGAGAGCCTTGCTCTTAAAGGAAATAATGCTTCAAGGTCACATCCAGTCAGCTCTGCTCACCCCAAACTGGAGAGGGCTGCAGGCACAGACCCTCCTGCAGTTCTCTTTCCCTTCGGGAGGGGTGCCTCTGTGGGGCTATCCTCATGCCAGATGCCAGCCAGGTCCCAGGGGTTCTTCTCAGTCCTTGGAACCACCCGGAACCCACAGGGGCCTGAGGTTCACACAAACAAAGATAAATAAACCATCAGGTCAGGGGCCAGGAAGGGGCAGTCATTGGGGTCCTGTAAGTCCCCAACCAGCACTGCAAGGACCTTGATCCATTTGCAGACAGATCTGTGGGAGTGAGGAGGCTCCCAGGGGCTTGCTGGGAGGCCCAGGCCCTGGTCTCATCTCTTTTCTGTGGCATTGGATGCCCTGGGGAGCACCTCACACTGAGGTAGGGCAGGAGCTAGCACACAGAGCCCCATGGACAGGAAAATACTTTGAATTCCTCTCCGAGCCCACTCTGGACCTCGGGGCAGCAGGATTCCCTGCCAGCCATACTATATATCCCCACAGACACTCACACTACCACAGAGCCGTGCCTACACGCCTATGGCAGTGTGTGGGTCTCGTCCCTGGGCACACCAAGTCCACTCTCCCACCAGTGAGAATCCAGGGCCCAGGCTGGCATTTGCTGGGCCTTGGAGGAGCGAGTACGTGCCTCTGAGCACTGGTCTGGGCTCAGCAGTCCTGGGCACCAGTTGTGGCTCCCGCAGACAAGCGCCTCCACATCCGTGCTCTCAAGAACGCCGTGATCGCCCCCCTGACCCCCCTCTGCAGAGGTGAACTTCACTTGTCCACGCCCCCAACTCCAGAGGGCGCCCAGGGGACAAGGACCCTGGTCCTCTTCTGCGCCACCCAGGAGGTTTCTGGCCAATGACCAGCGCCGCTACCTCCCGTGTCACACAGGAGGAACAGGAAACACGACGGCAAATGACTGCTCTGAACCGCAGGCTGCTGAGCCTGAAACCAGGAAGCCCTCCTCCAAGACCTTTTGCGGTGGAAGGAGCCCTTTCGGACGCCGTGCCCTAGTGGCACGGCCGGGCTCCGGTGCAGACGCGAGCAGCAGGCTGCAGGCTCAGAGTCCGCGGCCGCTGGGCGCCGCGGCGCCATTGGGCTCCAGGCCGAGTCCGCGCTGGTGCGCGTGCAGGACGGCCTCGCGGCCGAAGCTCTGGCCGCAGCGCGGGACGCCGAAGGGTCCCCGCTCCCCGAGGGCGCCAGGGCGGCGCAGGCGCGGGGCCGGCGGTGCGCGTGCGGGGCTGAGCAGGCAGCGCGGCTCACGGAAGCGGCGGCCGCAGCGCGCGCCCTCGTGGGGCTTCTCGCCGCCGTGGGTGCGCCGGTGCGCCAGCAGGTTCTGCTTGAGGCTGAAGCGGCGGCCGCAGTCCAGGCAGGCGAAGGGCCGCTCGCCGGTGTGCGTGCGCTGGTGCACCTCCAGGTTGTGCTTGATGCCGAAGGCCTTGCCGCATTCCGGGCACACGAAGGCGGCGCGGCCCGGGCCCCCGTGCGCCTTTTGGTGGCGCACTAGGCTGGGCTGCTGCGGGAAGGTCCGGCCGCACAGCGGGCAGCGATGCGATGGCTCCTCCGCAGGCTGCTGGATGACCAGGCCACACTCGTCCCCCAGGGCCTCTTCCGCGGCCCCGGCCGGGAACCCGTCCGCGGAGGACGGCGGCTCTGTCATGGGCCGCGCCGGTGCTCAGCAGCCCCTGGGAGGCAGAAGCAGAGCAGAGTCAGGCAGGGACCAGGGGCTGCTCTCCTCCAACCCCAACCCACTTTCCCCTGCGAGGAAGGTCTGTTTTTTCCTCTGCCCCCAACTCACGGCCGGATGTTCCTTCAGGGCCTTCCATCCCTCTACCTTACCCTGTGGCAGCCCAGGTGATGGCCAGCCATGCCTGCCCCACCCCCCTCCAGGAGCTGGTTAGAGACCAGGCATGCCCCTAATGCGACGCGCACTTTCGCTTAGATGCGCAGGCATCGCAGTCCCCTGGGCCTGTCTTGGGCTGTCTTCTCCGCCTGGACTCTCAGAACAGGGATGGGTGCGGGGTGCACCCTAAGTCTGGAGGAAGGGGGAGGGGTCTCTGAGTCACTGAGCCAATACAGGAGCTGGGGCAGGGGTCAGGGTCGGTGTGCAGCATGTCCCAGTTTGACTCCACCACCCCCACACTGCTGTGTGGCCCACCCGGTCTCTCCATCACACCCTATCTGTTCTGGTTCTAAGGGTGCCTGTTAAATTGCTTCCCATTGTGTTCACAACCGCCCAGCTTTACAGATGGTCTTAGCAAGGTCAACATACTTGCCCAAAGTCACACAGCTGCCAAAGCCAATAACAAACCTATGGTCTCCATACTCCTTCACATGAACTCTTTAGCGTCCTACTGAGCCACTGAACACCCCCCAGGGCGCGCGCGCACACACACACCACCACCACCACCACTACCCTGCAGAGTAGCCATACCAAAATAATCCTTGATTGTACAGGGGTGCTGTCTATGGCAATCAACACTTAGACCTGTGCTTCAGCTCTGCAGGAGTCCAATTCCGGGGCCCTTCCCCCTCCCCACCTTCCTGTACCGTGGGTTCTGCAGGACGCTGCTCCCCACTACCTAACCTAGCCTGTCTACGGAGGGCAGGGCGGGGGAGTGGGGTGGGGTGGGGGTCTCAGCAGCACCTAAGTCCTCTTGTCCTCAGCCAGAGGACCCTTGTCCTGGCGAAAGGGCAATCACCACTAGCAAAAGATCAGGCCCCAATCTTTCACAGGGAGCTACACGGGTATCAGCAGACAGGCCACTGCTGTCCCCTGAGCGAGTCTCAGTCTAGTCTTGCCACTGGGTCAAGGGTCCACAGCCAGGGTCCCGCACCGCACTCACAGCCCAGCCTGCAGCCCTGTCTCTCCAGTCTCTGGCGGAGCCTCTGTCAGCAAGTCTCCCCTATCCTGAGTAAATACCGTAACTCTCCGGCATCGACTCCCCCGTCTCCCCCCCCTTCAACCCCCGGCCCCTTGGCCTCTCCTCTGAAACAAAACATCACGCTAATTTTAAGAGCTGAGCCTGCACAGCCTGTTCAACTCCTGGGGCCAGCGCAACTCTGAAAAAAATAAATAAATACGGTAAATTCTGCGTCGCAACCCCACCTCCACGAAAATATGCACGTCTTCCAGAAGGCTACCGCAACCCACGCGGCTCCTCCGCAGGCCCAGCTGCCTTGGGGAAATAAGGTAGACCACCTCTCGCTGTCCTGCACCCCAGGAATCACAAGATCCCTGATAAACTGGTATTTAAGTCGTCTTGAGACAATACTGCCCAGCTCCCAGAAAATACGGTAGCGCTACAGCGACGCATTCCCCAAGCCTTGCTGGGGATAAATACGGCTTAGAGTCCCCTCTGCCTGAGGGGCAACAGCCCCGAGCTCTCGACCCCAAGATGCCTCATCCTGCCGCCCAGCCACCCAGCAACATTGGGAATCTAAACTCACCTAATCTGTCCAGTACAATAGGGGATCTTGAGAGCTAGTGGGGTGGAGGGCACAGAGAATGGACAGACGTCAGCGCGCCCCCATCCTTGCCCCCAGCCATTCCCGTTTGGAGCTCCCAGGACCTGAAGTCGACCTTTGGAGTATCATCCTCTTTTGCTGCAGCCTGAGGCCCAACTGCTCTGGCCAGGCCACAGACCACCCCTGAGATTTGGGGGCACTGGAGGTACAAGCCTTTTTCCCAATGGATGAGGTGAGTCAAAGATCAGACAGAAAGCCTCCCTAGCTGAGTGTCCTTGACTGGTGGGCGGGGTGGGGGTGTGTGGTCTCCTTCGGAAGTAGGTATGTATATGACAACTCCAACCAAAACTACCCTGGGCAGTGGCTGGAGCTGAGCGGAGGGCTGGGCCCAGCCTGGGCTGTCGGGTAACGACACTCCCGACTGGGACCTGAATGCCTGTGGGCACTTCGAGCTGCCCATATATGTCTACCTCCACTTGATAGGTGGTCCCCCAGAGCCAGGGTGGCTGCCCCCAGCACCAAGGGCCCAGAGCAGACCCGTGTGATGATTGCAACCTCCTGGAGGTCACAGCGGGAGAAGCAGACAGGAGAGGGAGAGGGCATTTCCAAGTTCAAGTGCTGCACATGGACCAGACAGGGCTCCTGCAGCAATGGTAGGTGTGGTTCTCAGCACCCTTGAGGCCACTGAGACTTTGGGGCACCCAGCTGTGTTGTCAGAGCCTGTGGAATGTCCCCCTGCCCACCATCACCACTGCTCCCAGACTCAAGCCAGGGTCCCAAAGGAGATGGGTGTTTAAAACCAGGACACTGGGAAGCCCTGAGACAAGGATGGCCAGGACTAGATGTTGGCAGGACCCCAAAGGAGATGGGTGTTTAAAACCAGGACACTGGGAAGCCCTGAGACAAGGATGGCCAGGACTAGATGTTGGCAGGACCCCAAAGGAGATGGGTGTTTAAAACCAGGACACTGGGAAGCCCTGAGACAAGGATGGCCAGGACTAGATGTTGGCAGGACCCAGACACAGCTCAGAGTGAGTGAGACTTTGTAATACTCCCCCTGACCCTGGGGGCAGTATGATGGGATGGGCAGCCACACCCCCATTCACCCACTAGCTCCTGTTGTAAACATTATCATCTGCCAGGGCAAACAGGCTTCTTTTTCCCCCAGGAAAGAAGCAAGCCAGGGACCCTCAGAAACAGGTTGGGATCACTCAGAAATGAGCCAGGGACACTCAGAAATGGGCTGGGTCCACACAGAAACAAATGAATATGACACCAGTGGAATCTTTCCACGGTTTGCTGGGAGCCTGGTGGCACAGTGGTTATGTGCTTGGCTGCTAAGCCAAAAGTTGGTGGCTCAAACCCACAGGGGACAGATGTGGCAGTCTGGTTCTGTAAACATTACAGCCTCAAGAAGGCTGTGGCCAGACCTAGTCTGTCCTGCAGTCACTCTCGGTGAGAATGGATGCCACCCCAAGGAGTTTGCCAGTGGGTTCCAGATAAACCAAACAGCCAAACTCCCTGTCATGGAGTCAATGCCAACTCTCAGAGACCCTCAAAGATGGGGCTTTCTATTCCCATATAGAATTCCAATCTCGGAACCCCACGGGGCAGTTCTCTGTCCTGTAAGGTTGCTGTGGGGTCTGGATAGATCACACCAGAACAAAGGAGTGAGCCCACTGGGGGTGGAGGCAGGAGGCAGCATCCGCCTGAAACTCAGGTGCTCCCATTAAATACTTGTCATCAGGTTGGCTGAGTCACTTGGGCTCTCTGGTTTCGTGGGCCTCCCTCTGCCCCCTGATCTGTGGGGACACAGCAGACTGGGGTGGTGGTGGAGATATTCTGCAAAGTACAGATGGTCCAGTACAACTCTTGTCATCACCAGTCTGAAAAGCCCATGTGACAGCAGGACTGGAACAATGCCCTGGCCTGGCATGTGACTCCTGGGTGGGCCCAGGGCTCATGACTCACTGGGTCCTGGCCCTGGGTTCCCCCAGCACATCGGGGCAGGCCTGCCACCTGACCTGTGAACCACCCCACCCTCTGCTCCAGCTCCCTCTTGCCCCAATGGGCTGAGCGTACTTGGGGGCACAGTTACCCCACTACCCATCCCCAAAGCACCTTATGCTGACCTCACAGCCCCATGTCAAAGGGTAAGGTGTCCTTTCTTTAGCATCCCCAGATCCCACATGCCCAGCACACAGCAGGTTCAGTAATGTCTGTGGAGTGGGCCAGTGCACAGGTGTGCCAGGAAGGAGCCACAGACTGATGAAGGGGTGGTGTCCAAGGTGCAAGGGCACCCAATTACCCTCCAATTGCCTTTCCTTGGAATTAAAACTCAGACATGGCCCATGGCAACAATTTAGCCAAACCCTAAGTTGACCTGCCAGACACTGGGAGTGCCATCTCTTTGTGGGAGCAAAGTGAGGTAGAGATGGGGAGAGAATGACACTCCACAAGTAGTCACAAGTAACACTGATGAAGAGAATGAACAAGTCCTGACAGGCACACTAGACCCTTTACACCACTGGTTCTCAACCTGTGGGCCATGACCCCTTTGGGGGTTGAATGACCCTTTTGCAGGGTTCACCCAATTCATAACA